TTCTTTTTTTTTCAAATTTTCCATTTTCTCTTTCGAAACACCTTTTTCTTTTCCTTTTTTTTTCTTTTTTAAAAAATTTTTCTTTTTTTTTCTCTTTCTTTCTTTTTTGTTTTTTTTTCATTCTTTTCCCATTTAAATTATTATTATTAAATAATCCTATTGTTTTGGTCTTTTAAGACGATTTTTTTTATATTATTTTTTCGGTCTTTTTTTTAGACCATATTATTAATTTTTTTTTTTGAATTTTTTTTTCGGTCTTTTGGACAGGATTATTGTCCTTTTTTTCGGAATTTTTTTTAGTACTTATTTTTTTTTAAACCAATTTCTTTCTTTATCCTTTTTCTTTTCCCCCAAATTTTTTTTCTTTTTCCTTTTCGGTTTTTTTTTCAACCCGATTTTTCTCTTTGTTCCTCCCCACAACTTTTTTTTTCATTTTTATTTTTTCAATTTTTTTCAATTTTTATTTTTTTTGATTTTTCCGGTTCCAATCAGAATAATTTTTCCCCTTTTCCTTTTCGGTTTGGCTTTTTTTTATTTCAAACCGAATTTTTTTTCCCAAATACATTATTTCCCCATTTAGGTTTGGATCTGATTACTTTTTTTATTATTAATAATAACATTTTTTTTTTTGTATTAAGCTCAATGATACTTATTTATTTATTTTTTGTAACAATAGATCGTTATAATTAGATATTAATTAGTGATATTTTTTTTTTCTAGAGGATGTATTTTTTTAATGTCACAATGCAATTTTTTAAGATAAAAAAAAAGATTTTTTTTGTAACAATGTAACAATAAACTACTTATATGAAATTGTTTTTGTAATGAATTTGTAAATTTCACAGTACTGAAACATTTATTTCATGTGATAAATAAAATTTGCATTTAATAATAATATTTCATATACTGTATAACACTTGCACACAATTTCATTGTTATTTTATAATCATGTAAATTGTGTAATTTATTACATTTATTTCCTACTAATCCCTCATAAGTCATAACAATAGTAAAAAACTAGACTTATTCACACTGCATGGCAAATAAAATATTAGTGTGTTATTATTACTTTCTTATTTGATGGGCAAGTATCATCCCCGGCGCAATGCGACGGGTTACACCTAGTATATATATCATTAAAAAAATAAAAAAAAATTATTAAACCATTATTATTATACACACATTCGTTAATTTACTGTACAATGAATGCAATGAGAAAAAAAATCAATTCATGTTCGAATTAAAATTTCAAAGTACTCGATTAAATCCTCTTTTTTTAATTTTTTTTTTTTTTTATAAACACGTTTTATTATTAGATATACAGTAAATATAATTATTATTTAATACATTTCTAAGAACTATTACCCTATATTAAAGATATTAAACAATGTTCTATATTTATATGGCCCAAGATAATTTACCGTTTATACCGTACTTAATTCTACGCTATTTGTAATTAATCTATTTTTGGTATTTTCTAATCTTATTTTATATTTTTTCTATTTCTTTATCTAAATCTAAGTTCTCCTTTTATAATGAGTTATGAACTATGACTCCGTTTCTACTTTCCTGCTATCCCTTTATTTTCTCTAATCTAACTACTACTTTGCATCTAAGATCCATATCTTTTCTTTTATATTCGAAAAACATTTATATAACAACATTTTATAAGTTCCCTTTCTTCTCTGTTTTTCTTTATATCGATAATTCTTGTTAATTTAGTAAAGAAAATGAGAATTAATTTCCATGATTTACCTAATTTGTGAAAAAGGTTTTTAATATTATGCAACGTTAAATTTTGGTGTGCGAGATGATTATACCATTATACCAATCATGAGAAATGAATTGTACATGATAAGGTAAACTTTATTATGATTTGAAGTAAATTTACAATGTGGTAAGGTAAAGAAGGATTTCAAAGAAATCTGCTCATAATTTTTTAAAAAATAAGTATTAAAATTTCTTATTATTATTATTTAATAAAAATTCATGAATAAATTTTCATCAATTGAAATACTTCATATTCTTCAGCATAAAATCTAACTTCAGTTTCTCTAGTCGATCTTTCTTACAAACTTTACAATAATAACTAAATGTACTAATATCTAATCCCCATATAATAAGGGCTCCGTTACCAAACGATGGATCAAAAAAAGATCTATTATCTATAGCATACTGATTATCAATTATACGACTTAAATTATAATTCTCATTTCTCTCTTTATTATTAAAAGAAAATATAAAACTATCTTTAGTATTACCATATCTATTAACGGATTTCCATCCAATCGGATTGTATCTCCAAGAATTTCGCTACTATCTTTCTCTTTAGCAATTGTACAGTGCGAGAATGAAGAATGAAATTTTATTGGGATAAAATCCATCACGAGATCCACGAAATAATAATTTGAACTCATATGGAGAAGTTAACTCATTAGTAATTTCTATTTATCGACCCATTTTGAGATTTTTTCAGCATGTTGAGATGTAATTATAATAGAATCAATATTTCTTGAATCAACATTTCTCAGGTATACGAGGTTTTGATTCACCCTTATCAGGATTCAAATAACTCAATAATAAATCATCAGATAAAACTTTTTTATAAGGATATACTTTTCCCGCAAATTCTTTAGAAGTTAAATTGTAAAATCTAATAAACGGGATGCATTGTAAGATATCCTTCAAAGTGGTGAAATCTTTATTTAAATAGTTTTTAAGGCCAGATTGTAATTCTGGATTATGAGCAATTCCCCATTTAAGCACATGTTACCAAACTTAAATTTCGCTCATTTAAATAAATAACTGAAATCAAAAGTTTTTCTGGAAAACAAGCCTAATCAGAACCGAATGTTCATGTACGTATTTCTGAATAAAATCTTAGAATATATTTTTTATAATTTATTAGTAATATCTACGATTGTATCTCTCAACTACCAGTGTTAATCCTTAAAAAGGAAAATTCTAATGACATCATTTTGAGTTCAAAATTATATTCACTTCATCACATTGCATCAAAATTACTATAAAATATACTAATATGACTAGAAATAGTAATTTTTCAATTTGCATATTTACCTCTCAATTAAAAACAAAATAAAATGCCTCGTCAACTAACTACTGATTGCCTTAATTATATATTTGAATATTTATATGATGATAAAATTACCTTATATTCATGTCTATTAGTTAACCATCTTTGTTGTGAAGTTGCAGTTAGAATTTTATGGAGAAATGTTTGGAAGTTTTATGATTTTGGTGAAAAGCCATATATATCATTATCAATTATTAATACTTTAATTGCTTGTCTTCCTAAGGAATCAGAAAAATTTTACATAGAATGGATTTAATATAACCATTCCAATTCAGAAACCTCCATTGATTAATTATGCATCATTTTGCAAAGTTATCTCAGTTTATAAAATTGATGACATGATTATACTTGCACTTAAAAATCAACAATCAATTATTTCAGAAGACATACGAAATTTGTTATTACAAATTAAAAATGATTATGAATCAAATTTCATCATTAAAAGTTTTGAAGTGTAACGAATCACAATCACAATCACAATCACAATCAAAAGATATTGATGTATTATCTTTAGCAATAATTCATTTTCATTTAGCTAACCTTGTAGAATTTAAATGTGATTCAGATATTTTTTCTGAATTTATTTCTCAAGTATCTCATAATCTGCAATCATTAACTATAAATTTTAAGTCTGAGATTTCAAATGGATTATTGGATTTGATTTTTTCACAGAATAATTTTAAAATTGCAAATCTTCAATATTTTTTCATCTGTTCATTAACTAAGCATTCTTTAACATTAACAAAGTTAACATTAAAGAATTGTAAAATATCCTTTCCATTTATAGCTATGTTCAAAAATTTACAAGAACTCATTTTATATCAAGAATGTAGTGCTAATCATATATTTTATCAATTGCAGGATACTTATTTTTCACAATTGAAGATTCTGAAGATTATATATAAAAATAATTTTTCTGATGTTGAAATGCTAATTAACTTTTTGGAAATTAATGGAAAAAATCTAACAGAGTTTTATATATATCATTACTATAATAGATCATTAAATTTAGTTTTAGCTGAATTTTGTCCAAATCTTAAAATTTTACGCATTCAAATTAAGAAGGAAGAAGAAGAAACATTGAAACTAATTCTAAGTAATTGTCAATATTTAGAAATTATTGAATATCCTTTTGCTTGTAATTATGTCTTTAACTTCTACAACATTTTGGCAAATTATTCACAAGAATATTTTTATGGCTTAATTTTAGATTATTCTTTTGCATGGCCGGTATGGTCGATGGATAGCCTTTATGAAGATTTAAAAGATTTAGAGGAATTTTTTATAAACTGGCAAGATCGTGTATCACAAAGATCACTTTCACTGATTATTTATATTCCTGACGATATTTATTACATTAAAAATATGAATGATATAAAAATACTTATTGAAAAATATATGAAATTAGATATTAAATTTAAGAAATTTGAAATTAAAAAGGTACCACGTTATAAAGTAAAGTAATATATATACAAATAAAATCACATTCACATAATAATAGTTATCTATCTAAAATAATTTTCAAAATTTATTGCGCTTGATATTATTAATATGGCGTATACTTAGTATTGCTCCTTAATTGCACACTTTTTTATTTGATGGGATTTATTTTATTTGAACCTATATTTCATAAGATTTATTTCAATAATATTTTTGCTTCAGATTTATAATTGTTTTACTGTAGTTTTAAAAATTTTATTTGGTTTAATATAACATATTAATATTATTATCTGATATTGTATATATAAACCTTGTAAGTATTATTAATCATTTGTAATTTAATTAATAATAAATGTAACACCTTTTTTTATTTCTTTTTTTACAAAATAGGACTCGTTTCTTTCTGATAATGTGATGAGAATGTTGGGGATATTGGTCCAAATAAATATTCAAAATAATACAAACTTCATGGATTAATAATTAATGAAGTTATTACTTGATATCCATAAATTTCCCAAGGAAAATGATTCAATGTGAAAACTGAAAAATATTAACAGTAATACGAAATTCCATTTGTTTGTATGTATTTGTAAAATCGTGTTAATTTAATTAGTTAATACTATACGTACAGCCTCTCCAAGCGCAATATGATTATCTTCAAGATCATTAATGAATAGTGAGCTGGTCAACTCCCAGAATAAAACTCCCAAACAATATATATCAGATTTCTCGTTTAGCTTATATGGAACTGTTTGATCGAGCATTTTAGGATCCACATAAGGAATTACTTCCTATACTTCAGCATTTTTACAACCCTTCCCTTTTTCAAATGAATGTCCAATATCTGCCAATTTTATTGTGTCCTATGAATTAACTGGTTTTTTTTTAAAAATTTATTAAACGCTATGAATATATTATTTTCTTTATTTACTGTAACCATAAAATCGCATTTGTAATCTCTCTTGCAAATCTTAATTGGTTCTTCCATTGAATAGCATTGTCCGCATAATCCAGAACAAGTGAATACCTTTCCACATCTAAAGAAAATTAACATGTTAACAAAAATATAATTTTATGTTCGATGATTCGCATGAAAAGATTCTTTTAAAACAGGAAAATTCAAGAATCGAAATATTAAGCGATCTAATCATGGAAGAATTATACCTGGATATTTACTTTTATGTTTATCTGTTATATAAATTGTTGCTACCTTCTAATTTAGTAATCCGATTATATTTGCATGGGAATTAACCATTTTTGTTAAATAAACCTAGGGACTAAGGAGGAAGTTATTAAAACACTAAAAGATTTGTTGGTTGCCGATCGTACTAAAATAGAAAAGCTTGATTTGAAATGTATTTATATAATCAGCAAATCAATACCAAAGATGGGGGATCAGCATCTTAAAATGGAAATCACTCAAAAACTAATCTTATGTTAACGTTAAGTTAA